CCCAGGGCCCCCCCTTGATCCCCCCCCCAAGCCTACAGGTGCCTTGAGTCCGTCCCACCAGCACCAGGTGCCCCCACCGGTCCCCCGTGTCCCTCCTGGGGGGTCCCCACATCCGTCCTGGCATCCTCAGATCCCCCACGTCCATCCTGTGGGTCCCCCACATCTGTCCTTCCGTCCCCTTGTCCATCTGTCCCTGGGTACCCCGTGTCCATCCTGCAGGTCCCCATCTTCGTCCCACTGTCCCCAGGTACCCCACGTCTGTCCTGTGGGTCCCCATGTCCATTGTCACCCCCAGAACCCCCATATCCATCCTGTGGGTCCCCATGTCCCTCCTGTCACCTCCAGACCCCCCCCATCCATCCTGCAGGTCCCCATGTCCCTCCGTGTGTCCCCATGTCCCTCCTGCCATCCTCTTGTCCATCTCAACATCCCCAGGTACCCCATGTCCATCCTATGGGGTCCCCATCTTTCTCCCACTGTCCCCGGGTACCCCACATCTGTCCTGTGGGTCCCCATATCCATTGTCACCCCCAGAACCCCCACATCCATCCTGTGGGTCCCCATGTCCCTCCGTGTGTCCCCATGTCCCTCCTGCCATCCTCTTGTCCATCTCAACATCCCCAGGTACCCCATGTCCATCCTATGGGGTCCCCATCTTTCTCCCACTGTCCCCGGGTACCCCACATCTGTCCTGTGGGTCCCCATATCCATTGTCACCCCCAGAACCCCCACATCCATCCTGTGGGTCCCCATGTCCCTCCGTGTGTCCCCATGTCCCTCCTGCCATCCTCTTGTCCATCTCAACATCCCCAGGTACCCCATGTCCATCCTATGGGGTCCCCATCTTTCTCCCACTGTCCCCGGGTACCCCACATCTGTCCTGCAGGTCCCTGTGTCCATTGTCACCCCCAGATCCCCCAGATCCATCCTGCAGGTCCCCATGTCCCTCTGTGTGTCCCCATGTCCCTCTTGCCATCCTCTTGTCCACCTTGGTGTCCCAAGCTACCCCAAATCCATCCTATGGGTCTCCATGTCTGTCCCACTGGCCCTGGGTACCCCACATCTGTCCTGCTGTCCCCATGTCCATTGTCACCCCCAGATCCCCCAGATCCATCCTGCAGGTCCCCATGTCCCTCTGTGTGTCCCCATGTCCCTCTTGCCATCCTCTTGTCCACCTTGGTGTCCCAAGCTACCCCAAATCCATCCTATGGGTCTCCATGTCTGTCCCACTGGCCCTGGGTACCCCACATCTGTCCTGCTGTCCCCATGTCCATTGTCACCCCCAGAACCCCCAAATCCATCCCGTGGGTCCCCATGTCCCTCCGTGTGTCCCCATGTCCCTCCCACCATCCCCGTGTCCATCCTGTAGGTCCCCATCTCCATCCTGTCACCCCCCCCCAGATCCCCCACATCCATCCTGGGGGTCCCCACATCCATTGTCACCCCTAGACCCCCC